GGTGCCAGCCTGTAAGCTTCATCTCTACTGGCTGCGTTCACAGTACTGAAAGGTTCTATGCATCCTACTGGGGGAGAAAAACCATCAGCAGTCTTACCTAGCTGCGAACACTGCAAGCTACAATAATGGGCAGCTGGAGAGGTATGGCCCCTGGTGCAACCGCGGTACAAATGTCATGGGAGTGACCAACCACTTTCTCATTGGATCTAAAGCCTGCTCCTAAGACGGAGCTCATACCTGATATCATTAACTGGACCAAGGACCTGCGGCTGACTACGTCATACGGGAGAACTTAATTCTGCCAAATGGGTATAGTGATAAACTGCTTTCTATTTGCTTCTATAAATAGGTTACTACATCTTTCCAGCCTTATCAAGGAAGTTATTTTTATAATAAGGTGGCGACTAATACTGTGGTGGTTTGAATATGCTTGAGATTGGAGATATTTGGAGGTGTGGTCTTGGAGGAGGTGTGTCACTGTGGGCGTGGGCTATAAGACTCTCATCCTAGCTGCCTAGGAGAAAGTCTTCTCCTAGCAGCCTCCAGATGAAGATATAGAACTCTCAGCTTCTCCTGCACCATGCCTGCCTGGATGCTACCATGCTCTTGCCTTGATGATAATGGACTCAACCTCTGAACCTGTAAGCCAGTTCCACTTAAATGTTGTCCTTATAAGAGTTGTCTTGGTCATGGTGTCTGTACACAGCAGTAAAACCCTAATTAACAAATACAGAGGCCCAAGACTGGTCATCATGCAAAGAATAAGAGACTGTGGAGTATTCGGATCTAAATGTTGTCTGTATCTTAGTCCCTTCCCCCAAAGCACAGGGATCATTGTAGATGAGGGAAGAAAAGTCACAAGATCAAAAAATCAGTAGACATCTGCATCAAAACAGTATCTGTGAGAATGACATATAATTATATGCACAGGGTCAAGTCAGCTAAAATCCCAGCAAGGAAGACAGAAGGGATCATGAAACTCTGCCTCCAGATGAAGAGCTACTGGCAATTTATGGCTCTGGGGGAGAGACAGTCATTTTTCTTCAGGGAGGTGGCCCAACACCCATGAGAATCCAGGCAGCACTAAGTGGACCCAATGATTTATTTTCATTTATTTCTTTAAGTGCACCTAAAGTTGGGAGAAAAAAGAGGTGAGAGTGGGGAAGAATGGGTGGGAAATGGGTGGATTTAATCTAAATACATTATATGCTCAGATCTAAAAATCCTCAGATCTAAAAATGTGGCTGCTGTTAATGTAAACCATCACTCTGTATACTAACCTAAAATTTAAATTTAGAAAGAATACAGCCATGATGTATGAAATTGGAATGTCAGCTTTTCTGTTGATAGAATGATGATGGATCAAAGCAGGTTGAAGAGTATAGTGTTATATGCACAGGGACTCAGAATTTTGACTTCTGGCTCATTGTGTGACACTGATCTAGTGTTACGACATGGTGTTGCTTTCTCCCATAAGGTCACTAGACATAGCACATCAACATGGCTTCCTATGTTTCTAGAAGTACCACTGCCCTATATCATCCAGATAACAAGGAGGTCATGGGTCCAAGGGGTGCACCCTGGTCCCATAATGACTTACTATTGGCATTGGATGAGGTACTGAAGTTTGTGTATGTGCTCAACTTTCTTATAAGAATACTACTCTGACATGGAATCTCTGCTGATCCCAACTTCAGAAGACACCAATGCAAGGAGCATATGTGGAGGCCTCATATCTAACAGGATCTTTGATGGCATTCTGATTCCACAAATGTTTAGTGATGCCAAACTTACCAGGGGCTGGGGGGATGGGTCATGAGCCAAAAAGACCCACTCTGCCCTTGTGGGGCTAATGTCTGTGGAAAGGCAGAAAGTAATCAAACCTAAAACTGTAACTGTCCAAGTTCAAGTTCACTATACTCTGAGTGACTAAGGCATGGGGAGGTCAAGGTTAAGAATCTGTTGAGCTCTACAAAGGAGTTAAACTCGAGAAGAAAAGATGGCAAAGATGAGTCCGCGCAGGGCCACCTTCTAGAGAATTCCTGGAGAGAGTATAGATGGACAGTGGCCCCACTGTGTGTAATCTGTGTGATCTGGGGATGTTAGGAACCCCACTGGTGGGTTCAGAAAAAGAACTGGCCAGATTTCCACTCTGATCATGGCCTACAAGAGCCACAGAGTGCAGAGACAACTTCAGTAGCAGGAGAGAGAGAAATCCTTCTGCCTAGGGAGAGGCTGGATTCATGCATAGCATATGAGACCCAGGTCTGACAGCGGTGTCCCAGGCTGGTGGCCAGTGGAAAGTTCTAACCCTACAAAATGCTTCTAGGGTTTGTCTGAAGTAATACACAAGGCCACTTCTGGTGCAGAACTTCTGAGAAGGCCCCAGGGAAACTTTAACTCTCGTAACAGAATCAATAAACAAGGTCACGCTGAGCACAGCCTGTGCTTGATTTGTGAAGGAGTTATTAGCAAGGCATAGTGACACGGTGGCCCAGATGGGAATCTCTGCTCTGCCTCTGACCTAGGTCAAGCTGTGGAGCTTTGCCAAGTCTTAGTCTCTCCTGGCCTATGAGGGTAACAACGTTAGTCCATTGAGCAATCTCACAGCCCCACACTTGGAAGGAAGACATAGACACTGCTAAAATGCTTGCAGCTTTTTAATTAAAGTTTCCAGGACCCCAAGGTTGAAAAATTCTACTCCTCAATTTCTCTGTCTTTCATTATTGAATTGACTTGTGACCCCAAAATCCTAAATTCAAACCTGAACCCTGCCACCTGTGGCCAGGACCTTATATAGACATAAAGTCCTTATGGGTGTGCTTAAATGAGGGTTAGGTCATAGTAGGTTAGGGTGGGCTACAGTCCAATGGCTGGCATCCTAATTCAGGAGATGCAAAGAACACATGCAGTGTTAGAGTCTCTTGGAGCCCAGCACAAGGAATAACATGACTGACCCTTGACCGAGACCTCCAGCCTCCAGGACTCTGCAAGAATAAAAGTTCATGGTACTTTGTTGCTATAGCAACAGATATGACAGATGTGTCCCAGGACAGCCTGAGAGTCATTAACACGGTTCTGCAGAACATCTGACCTTGAGCTCAGAAGAATCCTGTGCCCTCAAATCATCAAAGACCCCCCATGGATTCCCCTAAGAGCCACTGTTGCTAAACTAGAAAAGGAAATAAATGGGAAATTAAGCAAACGGAACAAAGGCAAGCTGAAACTGTAATTTGGTACGTATAGGAGAGTGTTTTCAAGTCAGTCAGACCTAGAGTGCTTTCAGGTCAGTCAGACCTAGCTGGGGAACTGGGCACCTGCTGAACCTGTTTTGGAATGGGCAGAAGGGTAATGCCCACCTCCTTGGATTACCTTCCGAAAATGAACATAAGAGGCAAGATGGTCCTATGGATCTAAATACACTCTGTAAATGTGGCTGCCTATGGTAACCGTTTTGAACCACTAGATGGCAGCAGAGCGTCAGTGTTTGTCTCTCAGGCACTGGCGGCTAGAGTCAATGGTGAGGGGTAGGGGCAGGCTTCCCTTGAACTTGTTACCCTAAGATTCTCTGTGTCCTACTCCTACACCACAAGCACCCTACTGGGAAACAACTGCCTCCTCCCTTGGTCTGTCCTTGAAAGAAAAAGCCTCTTGATGAAGCCACCTTCTCTAAGAACTCACCAGGTTTCCCAAACCACCCTTTCAAAAAGGAGTTATATTTTTCAACTTTTATATGGCATAAGCAAACCCCTGAACAGTTAGGTCTCAGCAGGTCAGGGCTACTAAACCATTCTGGGGCCTCAGAAACTGGCCAGCCTAACAAAACCAACCCCTTCCATGATGAGACGGTGAGGCCTCGTTTATACAAATTAGTTACGTAAGTCTAGAGTTTTGTCACAAGCCTGGAAGAAACAGTTCCTTCAAATCTTCACACCATTGTGACTAGTTTTTTGTACTGGTTTTACGGTGACTGACAGGTAAGTACCTGCCAGTCCAGCACAGAAGAATTCCTATTCTCTGAGTGTCATGAATGCTCACTACAGGAAATCGGGTGGACCCTGCTCCTTTCTGCCCTTTGTGTATCTCCTCAGCAAACTGCGCTGTTTCTGTTTCTCAGTTCAGACACAAAATAAGTATGCAGAATATTATAGTGACTGGCATAGCTCCCATCAGGTTAAAATAAATTTCAACGACATCGGGTAGTTCCCTGGAGTGCACAGCCCCTCCCATCCTCTTTAAGACATAAATTCTTCCAAATTTGGTGTTGGTCATCAAGACTCTATGTTCCCATTGGAAAAGTCTAGGGAGGAGGCAAGGATGCCTTCTCAGCTATCTGAATAAGGGCACAGGGACTTCATGTTCCAGGAGACAGGGAGAGAACAGATAGAAGGCAAGCAGAAGATTATATGAAATTACAAGTCCTTTCAGTATCCTCAATACAAAGAAATCATAGATGTCTGAGCAGTGCAGACATAAGTGAAAATTACCTTGATTTGATTGCCATGAATTGTACATGTGTCAAAATACACTATGCCCACAAATGTATACAATTATTGTATTTTAACTACACATTCTTTGTTGTTGTTGTCTTAAAGAAGGATGAATGGAGGGCTCAGTGGCCTGGAGATACAAGAAAGTCATCTTGACTTGATTGTTGCATATTGTACATGTGTCAAACACACTATGGCCACAAACATTATACAATTATTAGCATTTTAATTACACATTTTTTTGTTTGAAAGAAGCCTGGAGGGCTTAGATTGCCCTGCAGGCAGCTGAAGCCACCCCAAGGTGCTGAGAACGCGGCTCTGAGGGTCCACAGTCTGAGGATCTCACTGTGGAGAAGGGCCACACTGGAGGCAGGAGCAAAGCATCAACATTCTGCCTCTCCATGCACCTGCAGCCTGCCTGGGCACTATTCCACCACCACCACCACCCCCAAGCATGGTCATGGAACTTGGAAGCTCTGGCACCAACGCAGGAGCCTCGGGGCCACCTACCAACAACGGTGAGAACCTCCCTGTCGATGTGGGCCTGGATATAGATGCGGCCGCGGCGTTCTGTGTGGTCAGTGCCGCAGAGGCTGGGGACATTCATCACACAGCGCTTGTGGACGTTCATCATACAGGCTGTGAAGGCAGACAGAGGGAGGTATGGCTCAGGTTAGTCCAGGTTGGCCCAGGCTGTGGGCTTTAGGCATCAGCCGTAACCAGACCAGGAAGCTGGTGTCTTCCTGTTCCCTGACTTTAGAGACAGTCCCACCTAGCAGCGAACAAGCTACCTTGCCAGCATTGTATCAGAAGGACTTCTCCAAATCTTTCTCAACCCTGATGGGTGAAGGCAATCGAACTTAGTCATCCTCCCTGAAGGCTAAGGTATAGCCTGAAGTGATATCTCTATACTTCTATACCCCTGTGGCTCTGAAGCGCCAACTCGAATTCCCAGTGCACTATTCCTACAAGTGAGGGAAGACATGGAGGTGGTCCCATGGAGGGCAGAGCCACACCCACCCAATAGACCCTATGGGAATGCTTACTTATACAATGCTGTCAAACTGCCCCATGTTTAATGTCAGCAAGAACACACTTAAGTAAGACATCTCCTAGTTTTAAAGTACTGACAATGTAATAGCTTGAGTTCCCTAGAGGGTGGGTGCAACAGGGAGGTAGGTACTTCTAGGAAGTGCTCTGGAAGGGAATGAACTGGCCCACCTTGTCATGGGGAGAAGAGCTCAATACAGGGCATCAGGTAATAGTACCTGTCCCACCCAGGAGTCAAGGAAACACAGTGCATACATGGACCCTAAGCCAGTAAGACAGAAGCCTCTCTTGTGGCATTGCCCCATGCATGTTCCCTAGGAGGTCAAGTACTTACTGTCGCATTTCATCCCCTGGTGGATGAGACCATACAGCAGTGATCCACAGTGGTCACAGAAGGTAGGGCTGGAGTAGGTGTGGATCTTAAACTTGTGCTTGCTCCGGGGGTCCTAAGACCAAGAGAGACAGACAGAAGAGGCCATCATTAGAGAGGAGAGCTGAGGACTAAGCCTGCATTGAATGTCACTTGACAACTCATCAAGGACTGAGACAGGTCCTGCCATACCTGTGAGGACTCAATACTAGACAAGTGGGGTCACAAGGGTGAGTACGTAAGACAGATGATTGATCAAACTCCATGTCCAGAAGGAGTTTCACAGGGCCAACCTGAAAATCCCAGCATTCAACAGCCCCCCTGCTCCCATCTCCACCCACCCTTTCATTCTGCAGACAATTTTCTAGAGTGATCTAAACCCAAGTCTAACCACAAAGCATTCCCACTTACAGGTCATTTGACAGGTCCTTGCTCTGAGGGAACAATCTTCAGTCCGGAGGACAGTCTCCAAGCTGTGGCAGAGAGGGCCACACTTCCACCCTTCCCATTCACAGTACAGCCCTTGAATTATATAGCGTAGGACAAGCTCAACAGACGCCAGACTTCCTAAGCTCCTCAGTAGCTTGGTGTGGCCATGGGTTCTGATCAACGGAAAGTATAAACTTCTGGATCATTCCACTAAAAGGAACATAAATGTGCCTCCTGCCTCTTTTCCCCTCCCCTCTTGCCAGAACGTGAGAAAATGTGATGACCTTGAACTCACACTTGGAGCCTGTGAACAGAGCCAGCCCCACAGCCTTGGAAACCACCTTTGAAGTTGTTGCCTGAGAGAAAAACCTCATGTGTGTCTGCTCGGTCTCCATATATGGAGGACTATATTGCTTATTACTATTTATTGGTTACAGCAACTTGCACAGTCCCTTAACTAAGAAGCATGGCCATGACACCCTGGCGGTGTGGTGTAGAGGACACAGGGTCAGACTTTGGAGCATAAACCAGCGCTCTTCTTTGCTGAATGGCTTTGGGCAGTGCTTCTATCTCTTTCTGTTTCAGTTTCCTTGTCCATAGAATGTACATAATGACAGCGCTAAGGCTAGCATCACAGCATAAGACTGTTGAAAGAATAAACGGATGAACCGCCGTGGAGAGCAGAGCACCTGAAACACGGTGTGCACTGAGTACAAGGTTCCCAGTGGCAACTGCGGCTTCCCTACAGTGTGTGCTCAGACACACGTATAGTGCCAGGCGCATGGTGTGTTCTCAGTACTCAGAACACATTCACACACACACACCCATGACACCCTCCCTCACTCTCTGCTCTGCACGTCCCACCTCCCTCAAATGCCCTCCTCTTTCCAAACCCAGGGCAGAATTATTTCATGCTAGAATCAGTCCTCAGCTGAAGTTAATTTTTCGGATGAAGGTTCCAACCCAGGGCTGATGGGACACTTAGTAGCTGCAGCCTGCTGTTCCTCTCTCCCTCCAGACATTCACCTAGTCACCTGATTTACTGATGCAGGGGCAGGTGCCTCCTTAAATTTTATGTATAAAATTTTATATATAAAATTTATATATAAAATATCAATGCTGGTGGGAACACCGGAAATTTCCATGCAGTTGGCAGGGGTGGGTGATGGTTATTTTCAAAGCTGAACATACTCTTATCATAGATGACCTATCTCTGAGTCTCAGATGAAATGAAAACCTGTCTACTGAAATCCCATATGTGAAATTACAATCACTCTGTTCAAAATGACTCAAAACCCAGAAATATCCCCAAAATGTCCTCTGGCGTGTGGATGGATAAGGGATGAAGCATCTTCGCTTTGGGTCCCTTCTGGGCCTTTTGATATACTGACCTTGTAAAAGCTAAGCTTTGGGTTTCAGTTGGTGGTTGACTTTCCTAAGCCTACCCTGTGTACAAAGCAAGGGAGACCAAAAATCAAAAACAAACTAGAGTGGTGTTTATTAAGAGCTGGGGTGGGGAGAGGGCTGCGCAGCATTTGGGAACATATTTTAGTGTCTGGAACAATCTCTACACCAACTGGGTGGATTTTGTTGTGTAGAATCAAGTGATTCTGCATATGGGAAGATGTGCTTTGGGGCTGGGATACTTGGTGCATAAAGCGTTTAGCACACACGCCTGAGGACTGGAAATCAAGTCCTCAGCACTCATGTAGAAGCCAGTGGGTACAGCAGTCCACCTATAATGCCAACCCTCCCAGGGCAGCAACAGGGGATCACTGGAGCAAGGTGGCCAGAACCGGTGAGGGAGCATGTCTCAATATATAGGGAAAGAGTAACGGGAAAAGACGCTGGACATTAGCCTCTGACCTCCACAAGAACACACAGATTCCCACACACACGCAAACATCTGTACACATAAAAGCGTCTTTTAGTAAGGCTCTCTCAAAGTTCCTCAACCATGTAGGTTTTTGGGCCCTGCATCTTCAAAATGAGTTGCAGTTTATTTCATGACATGACAGCCCTCTGTCATTATTGGCTCTTACAGAGTCCTGAACAGTCAAGTCTGAAAGTCTGTGTCTACTTTGTTCTGACTAGCAAAACCAGCAGGGCTAGCTGAGCTCATGTTCAGTGATCATGTTCAAGTGTGTGTGTGTGTGCGTGTGTGTGTGTCATACCAAACCCAGTCAACATCCCAACTGTTACTCTCATAACAAATGCAAGGTTTAGAAATCACCATCTGAAAACCAAAGCTCATGTTAGGAGCTTGTCTTCACTCCTGAACAAAGAGACTACCACACACTGAGTTTCTACGTAAGAGGACCCTGTCCCTGCTGCAGAACACTCCCCACTGGACCCTCTTGAGCATCTCCCTTTAAAATGGGAAAGCAGTGCTTCAAACTTACCCAACAGCAACCCCTAAGCATGACCACTATCAGCCTGTGGGCTTCTCTCTCAACCCCACTACCTAATCTCTAAGGAGGAGAGCTGAGCTTGGTCCTGCCCCAGCAGGTAGAACATGTATACGTGGAATTAGCAGGTAAGCTTGCTATCCTAGCTTCTCACAGGAAGCTGCTGGGTCCAGACTCCACATCTGAACCTGAAAAAGTTGGTGTGAGTGGCTAAGGCAAGCTGAATTCCAAGGTCAAGGTCAAGGTCAAGTTGCTTTTGGATCTTGAGGTTCTTTCCTGAGTCTTTGATATGTGGAACCTCATAAAAGTCAGGGTTTAGGCTTCATCTGGAGATTGACTTTCTTTAGACCTACCTTACATATAAAAAGGAGGCTTCTTGAGCTCTGTCTTAAGACTGTGGGCAAATCTCAGCTAATCGTGAATTGCCTCTGCAGCCTTTGTGCTTCTCTCTACATCAGCATCCTCTCAGGAGACCTCAGGAAGAAACCAAGCACTTCTGACCAAGTGACACAACAACATCAAGACCCAGCACATATTTTCAACCACTGGAGGGAGCAACTGACCCATGGAACAAGAAAGGAAAGGAGCCCGTTGCTGCTACTGACAGAGTTTGTGTGTGTGTGTGTGTGTGTGTGTGTGTGTGTCCCCGTCCGTCTGTCCATCTGTCTGTCTGTCTGCTGGAGTACCTCAGATACTGTCTGTAATCCTCAGGACATACCACATGTAAGGTATTCTTTGCTCCCATTTTTACAATCGCAAATGGACCCAGATTAGAGACTTAGAGAGTAACTCTCTGTGTGTGTATGTGTGTGTGTTTATGTGTGCATGCACATCTGTCTGTGTGTGTCGCTGTGTGTGTGTATATGTGTCTGCCTGTGTGTGTCTCTGTGTGTGTGTGCATGTATCTGTGTGTCTCTCTGTGTGTGTACATGAATGTACAGGTGCATAGGTGTGTCTGCACATGGGTTTGGTGTTAGGCCAGTAGTCAGTAGTAGGCATCGTCCCCAGTACTTCCCCACAATATCCTCTGAGGCAGCCTACCTGTTCTGGTTTGTGTTTCTGACAATGACACAAGCTAAAACTAGAAAGAGGAACCTCAACTGAGAAAAGTAGCTCCATCAGATTGCCTTTAAGCAAGTTTGTGGGGCATTTTCTTAATTCGTGATTGATGAAGGAGGATTCAGCTCACCATGGGCAGTACCACCCCTAAGCAGGTGGTACTGAGATATATAAAAAGTAGGCTGAGCTAGCCCTGGGGATCAAGTCAGTGAGCAGCATTCATTCCTCTATGGCCTCTGCTTCTGTTCCTGCCTCCAGGTTCCTGTTGTGGGTTCCTGCCTTGACTTCCTTGATGATGGACTGTAACCTCCAAAGTGAAATAAACCCTCCTCCTCAACTACTTTTGGTCATGGTCTTTATTACATCTATAAAAAAAAAAAATGACAGTCCCTCACTGAACCTTGAGCTTCTTCATTCCGCCAGCAAGCTCAAGGACCTCCTCACCCCTACCTCCCCAGCAATGGAACCATAGGCAGACACTGCTGCTCTCAGTTTTTGCTGGAGATCAGACTCAAGTCCTCTCATAAGGACAGGAAGCATTTTGCTGACTGAGTGATCTCCCCAGTCCCCTAGTACCTTCTAAGTCAGCTAGGTGGCCTCTTCCAAAGATGGGATCCACATCACAACACTCTCCTTCCTCTCCTCAGTCCCCAAATTCAATCCCTTAATACTTCACCATTCAGATAAAGCTAACACAGCACTTTATTCATTCATTCATCTATCTGGCAAGTTTTACCACAGGCCAGGTTGTCTCTAGGGCTTCAGGAATCAGCTTCGAGCAAAGACAGAATACCCACTGTCATGAAAGCCACATTCTAATTACAGAGAGAGAGAGAGAGAGAGAGAGAGAGAGAGAGAACCTGTACTGCCCTCCCAAATCTCTCCAACACAGTATTTCAATCTTTGAATTGTAATTGTGTGTTTAAATTGCATTTCACCCACGCTTAGCTGCAAGCAACACGGGGGTGGGGGGATTCTCACAATCCCTACCCTATCCCCAAGGCATGTATTATACTTGACATGTACAAGGTGTTCAATAAATGTTTCGCCTTTGAGAGTTAGCATAAATTGAGCACGACATGTGCCAGCAAGGACTCTCAGGGACTTATCCCGTGCTGATCTGCTTGACCCTCATCAGTAGAGATGTGCGCTATTTGATACCCCCGTTGTAACAACTGGG